CTTCCTCTTTACTCCCTTGCCTATCTGTGGTTCTCGTCTGTGACACTGTCTACTGAAGTGGCCCAGCTTTCCACAGTGGAAGCAATTCTGACCTCCTTTATTACCTTTGGGTGGCATTGTTTATGAGTAGAACTTCCTTTTCCTGACACAGGCCCTAAACTGGCAGCAAAAATTTTATTTTTTTTTTTATTTTAATGAACATTTAGAGAGATTTTGGATTTTCATTCATTCATTGTTGCACTTTTTTCTTTACCCCCTCACCCCAGTTAGATCTTCTATTTGAAAAACAAAAGATAAACTTCTCCGTTGGTATACAGCCATGCAGAACCTTGCTCGGTTTGGACAGCAGCTTCAAAATTAAGTGTTCTGGATTCCCATTCTTCTCAATGTTAGTTATAATTTATGATGGTCCACTCAGTAATATTCTTTTCCATAATCAATAAAATACGTATAAGCACCTTTTTGGTATTCTCTGCTTTCAGCTAAGATCCATCTGGCATCAACAGTGATAGTCCTTTTGCCTGCCATAGCCTCCTCTGAATCCAGTTTGAATTTCTGAAATTTCACTGTCTGTGCCCTGTTTTAACTGCTTTTAAGTAATCTTCAGCAAAATTTTACTTGCATGTGATATTCATAATACTGTTTGATAATTTTCATACTCTGATGGATCGTCTTTTTGAAAATAAGAACAAACATGTATCTCTTCAAGTTAATAAGCAGGTTGTTGTCTTCCAAATTTCTTCGCATAGGTAAATGAGCATGTCCAGGGCTCCATCAATTCCTGGGGCCTTCCCCGCAATGCTTTCAGTACAGCTTAAACATCTTTAATTATCACTGGTTCTTGATCATATGCCAGTTCCTGAAATGTTTCAGTGTCGACCTGTTGTTTTTTGATAGTGACATTGTGTATTCCTTCTATCTTCTTTTGATACTTCCATCATTGTCCAATATTTTACCCATAGAATCCTTCATTATTGCCACTCGAGGCTTGAATTTGTTCTTCAGTTCTTTCAACTTGAGAAATGCTGAGTATGTTCTTCCCTTGTTTTTCTGTTTCTTTGCACATATTAATATGGATTATATCTCAACATCAAGAGAACGAAAATCCTTACCACTGAACCAATAGGCAACAGGTAACGATTGACAGAGAAAGGATTGAAGTTGCCAACCATTTTATTTTACTTGGATCCATATTCAACACACTTAGAACCAGCAGTCAAGAAATCAGAAGACATTACATTGAGAAAATCTGCTGTTAGAGACCTCTCCAAAGTGCTGAAGAGCAAAGACATCATTTTAAAGACTTAGGAGTGCCTGATCCAAGCCATGGTATTTCTGATTACTTCCTATATGGATCTGAAAGTTGGACAGTGAATAAGAATGATAAGAAGAATTTATACCTTTGAGTTGTGGTTTTGGAGGTTACGGAATATCTCATGGACTGCCAAAAGAACAGTTTGTCTTGGAAAAAAGTGACCAGGATACTCATTGGAAGGAAGGATTGTGAAATTTCATCTCACACACTTTTCGGCATGTTGTCAGGAGGGGCCAATCCTTGGAGAAGATCGTCATGCTTGGAGAGGTGAAGAATCAGCTTCAACAAAATGAATTGACAAAAGGACTGTAACAGTGGGCTAAAGTGTATCAGAGATGATGAGAATGGCACAGGCTAATGGCCAGTTTCAGATCTGTTATTCAGAAAGTTACTCTGTGTCACAGTTGACTCAGTGACACGTAACAACAATAACAACAATCTCTTTGCATATTCGGTTATAAAACTTCGGGGTTTTTTATTTTTTACTATATATATATATTTTTTTTTTTTTTTCCCTTCCACACACCGTAGGTCAGCAAATGGATTTAAAAACTGGTTTGCAGTTCATACCTTTTGCTGCCTACAAAGTCATTAACCTTTTCCTTACTTTATTGTCCATTGTCTTAGTTGTTGTAGTTGTGGTTGTGTGCTGTTGGAACTGACTCATAGCTGACCTTCTAGTGAGTTTTCAGAGGCTTTAAGTTTCAGAGAGGCAATTATCCGTCTTTCTCTTATGGAGCAGTTGATAAATTTGAATTGCATGCAAAGATAAGAAAGGTAGATAAGGAGTAACTGAAAATAATTCAAGTAGAAAAAATCCAAGGTACAAAAAGAAATATTAATATTTTAATGTGTTTAGTTTTACAAGCAGAAACACAGAAAGGAAACCAGAAGTTAATGAAAATGGTTGCCTAATAGAACTGCGAAAATGAGTGAAAGGATAAGAATAACACTTCTGAATATGCGTTTATAATTTCAGTCTTTGAGTTTTGAACCATGTGAATGTTTAAGGTATTTAGACATTAAATAAACCTTAAATAGGATGACCCTAAAATTAAAAATAGGTACATTTCAGGTAAATGATGTAAAAAAGAATTAGCCCAAATAACTTTTTAACATAATATTCTATATAGCTTTAGTTGAATATAGTTCAAAAGGACAAAAACAAAACCAAAACTGCAAGGAAACCTTGAACTTAGGTTTGTTGTTGCTGGTAATACTGGTTTAGTAACTCCCAAAACTATCTTCATGCATTATAGACTTGAACAAACTGATATTTTTGAATGAAGCTTTCAGGTTAGGGGAAAGGAAATATTGTGTAAGATAGTGAAAAACGAGGAAGACCCCAGGAAGTGTTAGATTAAAATTGGAATGCTATCAGTGTGAACTGACATTCTCTTCCGATTTCTTAATGCTATTCATACAGAGAACTCTGCTCTGTAGGGAATTGGGCTGCTAACCCAAAGGTGGCACACATCTGGTAGTTTGAACCACAGGAGAAAAATGAGCACTCTCTTCCCATGCAGTTTTCTGCCTCTGAAAATCTGCTGGAGGATCAGCTATGAATGGATTCTGACTTAACCGTAATGGGGTGTTTTGGTCATTGAAAGGATTTGCAAACAGCTTGCTACCATTGAGTGCCTAGTGCCCAGATCTTGTTTCTAAATATATATTTTACTAAAAGAAACTAGGACTCTTAGAGAAATGTATGATTCCAAATATGGGAAAAGTAAAATAGAAGATTGGGCCAGAACAATTTTTTGTGCCAGGAAGCAAAGTTATACCAAAAAACATGTTGTGATGTGCGGTTGAGTCGCCTGTGACTCAATTCTTCTTCTGTCGTCCTTAGTCATAGTCCAGCTCTCCAAGACATAGCAAGTAAGTGCAAAGACTGTGGCTTGGATCAGGCGCACCTTAGTCTCTAGACTGACATTGTTGCTCCTCGGTACCCTGGGGAGGTTCCTAACAGCTGATTTTTCCCAATGCAATTCATCTTTTCATTTCCTGACTACTGGTGCCAAAAGTGTTGATTGTTAACAAATTTAGCAAGTTGAAATTGTTAAGAGCCTCAATCTCATCTCTATCTATCATGGTGCTGCCAGTTGATGCAGTGGTGAGAATCTTTGTCTTCTTGACAAAGTAAAAAAGAGATAGTAACATGTTATTCTATTATGTATCTATTATTATATATAATGATATTATATATATTAAAAAGACATAGGAGCTGACTTGTAGAAGCTCCGATTAGCCAAACTGGTACAATTTTAAAAGTCAAAATAATAATGACAGAACTCTGATAGAAGAGTTTATAGGAAGTCGTGCTAATAACCCAAAATAATAATCGCAACATTGGATTATAATGGATTTAATGGAACTATGGGTAGAGTGGGGATGGGGACCCATGAATTTGTAGAACTTCTAGAACAGAGGGCCAAGGAATGACCTTCTTTAGTAGATTACCAGCTAATGGATCGGGGTGGGAGGTGGGGGAATGGTGATGTTTTGTGCCATCAAGTCAAAGCAACTCATAGCTGGCTCACCAGTGGGTTTTCTGAGGCTATAAATTACATGAGATGAGATGCTCATTTTTCTTCTGATGAGCAGCTGGTAGATTCAAACCACCTGCCTTTGGGTAGGAGCACAACTCTTTACCCAGTGGACAAGCGCTAAATAGGTAAAAGTAGACAAGTAATAGATGAATTTGAAAAGACTTTTGAGGCTGCGAATGGAAGGCCTTTAATACCAGGATCAAACATCTGATTGTGTAGATTATCATGAAGGAAATGATAAGTTGTTGATAAAGGTTGACCTGAAGGAAATAATGCTTGAGGAAAATTAGCCTGTTGTGATGTGCTGGATACACTGGGATAGAAATGAGAGATTTTTACAGTAATCCAGATATGAAGCCTATACATGTGACTTGAAGTAATGGGTGTCAGGGACAATGTAAAGGAAAGAATAGCCCTCGAAAAGCAATTTGAAAGGACTTACAGGTTTCTGTAACAGAGAAGTTCGGTTAGAAGATAGTCTCAATAGAGTGACTTTCAGAGTAGAAATTTAGAGAAGGGGATTCCACTCTTCTAAACCTCCTAAATAAACCTCGGATTTAAGCTGGTGGGATCTGAACTCTCCTGTCAAATTTGAATGTCAGGAAGAAGAAAAGCCCATATTTTTCCCACCTGCCAGATACCATCTCAGCCATCCTCACACACGTACTTCCCCTCTCCTTTTCCTTTTCTTTTGTCACTTAGATTTTAACTTTGCAAGGTTCTTTTTCCCAAAAATCTCTGCTCCCTTTACAACCAGTTGACATGGTTGTTGTTGTTGTTATGTGTCGTCGAGTCGCTTGCGGCTCATAGCAACCCTATGGACAACAGCCCTAAACCCTGCTCTATCCTGTGCCAGTCTCTCTGCCTCTGACACACCCATCCCGATTACCCCAGTCACTGAATCAGTCCACCTCATAGAGGGTCTTCCCCTTCTGCACCATCCCTCCACCCTCCCAAGCATGATGTCCCTCTCCAAAGACCTGTCTCTCCTTACAACATGTCCAAAGTATGTCAGACGAAGCCTCAGAATCCTTGCCTCCAAGGAGCAGCCTGGTCTAACCCTCTCTAGGATGACATGGTAGCCTATATATTCTCTTCAGCCATCAGATCTTCCTGCTGTGGGCATTTTTCTCTCTTCCAATTAGATATTACTTTTTCTCCTTTAAGTTGGAATAGAAACAACAAATGTTTCTGTTGCAATTACAGTTCTATTTCAAGACTGTCTCTCTGTTCTCAGCACCTATCCAACCCTGCATTTTTTTTCCCCCATGGAGAAACTTAGTTGTGCAATAATTATCCTTGTCTAGCTCTGGTAGTACAGTTGGTAACATTTGTACTGCCAGATCCAAAGGTTGCACATCTCTGCCTGTTCAAGTCCACCAGCACTGTGAGAGAAAGATGGGCATTTGTCTCCCGTTATGATTCACAACCTAGGAAACCCATTGGAGAGTCGCTGTAAGTCAGAGCCAACTCTGAGATAGTGAATCTTTTACTTTGTTCTCCTAAGAGTCCTCAGCAGACCAGCAGATAGGCCTTGATGAAATCTCCCTTTGATGACCTGGAATGGTTTTTCCCAACTCAGATACAGACCAAACCAGCTTAAAGGTTACCTTTTAGTATATTATTTAGGCTTATCATGAGCATAGGGAACCAACTTCTTGCTAGGGTCAAAGCAAAAGACACAAAAGCCAAGTCTGTTGCCAGCAGCAACTCAATAGGACAGGGTCAACAGCCCCCATAGGGTTTCCAAAACTGTGATCTCTATGGGAGCAGACTGCTATGCCCTTCTCCCATGGTGTGTTCAAACTTCTAACCTTTTGGTTAGCAGCTGAGCACTTAACCACTGTACCATGTTTCTCATTCACCCAGTTTTACTTTTGGGAGGCAACCAATATTAGATGTTTCTTTTGTACCTTTCCAGAGATATTTTCTAAGGGGCCTTAGATAGACCTAGGCAAGGAACCTTGAACTGTCCTGAGATAAAGTTGGCATTCTCTTGAGGTAGTGAGGAAGAGTTTAAAGCCAGGCTTGGTAACCCTGCGCTGGAGTATTATAGATCCAGTGGAGACAGCAGACGAGCAGTTGCAGTGAAAGATCTTTGAAGATCAATTCAGAGAATCCTCCTTCGATTCGGGCACCGTTAGCTCTCAGTGTTGTATTAAAGTACTCCATGCTTACCTCACTTGCTAGCTTCATTTTTGTGTACTTGTAACTTTGAATACTGTCTAGAACCATCCAATATGATAACCATTATGTGCCTCCAGGAAATTTAAAATCCATCAGATATGACTTAGAAATGGAAATTTTATTTAAAATTAAAATGTAAATAGCTTCATATGGCTTGTGGCTGTCATACTGGACAGCACAGGTCTATATTGTAGAACATAATAGACCCTTATTAAATTATAAGCAAGTTGAATCTTGACCGTGCATGGGGTGATTTGGGCACAGGAGGCAGAAAATTATGGAATAGGATGTTTTTAATAATCTCAGAAGTTGCAGCTTCTAGAATTTTACATGTCTCCCTCCCCCATTTTGTGTGTGACTTGCAGGGGTATTAATGGGGAAGCCATTGGAAGAACATCTTAGAAGGAAGGAACAGAGTGGGCAAAGAGAGACTAGAAACTGTAACAAGTGACGGGAGAGGCAGTAAAGATCAGGGACCCAGAATAGAGTCAGCAGCTGTGTCCATCACTGGGGACATTGACCAACAAAACGGTCTCTGTCTGCATAGAGCACATAACCGAATCTGTGTCTACTTTGAGACACGAGAACAACCAGTTACATATTACAGTAAAGATAGATAAAGAGAGCAGTGGAATATATGAAAGGGGCACTTAGCGGGCATTAGGCAGTACTTCCTTTGAGATGCTGCCTCAAATGGCTTAGTTCAAGGAGGGACGAACTTTCTCTTAAGTGCAATGGAGAGAGACTAAGAGAATTTAAGCAGCGAAATGAGATGGCCAAATATGCATTTCAGTATGATCACTGCTATATTGTGGTCAGTGTCCACCCTTGGGCCCTTCTTAGCTTTATTACAGATTTTCTTGTACCAACCATCGGAAGTGTCTTGTCTGGTTTATGTCTTGTTTTGTTTTTCTTTCTCTTTATTTCTCCTCTTCTGCATCGCTCTCTCCCGGGTCCCACGCTCTCTTCTTCCTTGATGTCCTTCTCTCTCTGATACAAAGATCAGCCAGTAAAAAGCAATCTCACCTGTCCAGGTAAGAGGGGTGCCAGGGTAAGGGCTGGAAAAGGTCTCCCCTTCCAAATGTAGAAGTTACCAGTTTTCAAAAATAGTTCCAGGGTTTTTTTTTTCTTTTACTTTGTGTGAATGTTTTAAATCATTCTGGTTTTTCATATAACATATGGTTCCAATTTTAAAAGGCATAAAAGTGAAAATAACTAAAAATCTCCAATCCAGCCATGGTCCCCATTCACCTCTTTGGAGGCAGCCAGTGTTATGTAAACAAACTTTTATATTCATTCCTTACCCCATTTTTTATTTTATTCTCCACAGAATTCTGTATCTTAATTTTTTTTAACTCAACAGCATATCTTTGAGATAATTTTTTTATCAACCTATAACCAAAATCAAACCAAACCCACTGTCATTGACTCAGTTGCTCGTCCTGAGTCAGGTTTCAGAGGCAGTGAGGTTTTATAGAAGGAGATTTTTCATCTTCCTCCAGTGGAGCACCTGGTTGCCTTGAACCACCAGCTTTTTAATTAGCAGCCTCTAGTGTCTTACACACAGTGCCACCAGGGCTCCTTTTCAGTATATAAAGAGCCTTCTGTTCTTTTATGTGACTACATGCTGGATCCATACTGTACTAATGTACTGTAAATCAATTAATTGGCATTTACTATGAACACCCTAGATTGTATCCAGTATTTTGCCTTTGCAAATGTTGCTTCCATAACTGTCTACATAGTCATTTTCTCTTTATTGGTTTCAATAAGAGACCCCTTTCTGAGGAACAGTAACTGTTTGGTTAGCTAACTGACAGTTAGCCACTATTCTAAAAAGGAGGATACCACAGTGTTTTAAACTTCTGTTCCTATTGGGAGCCTACTTTAAAAGGAGAGTCATACCAAATTTGCATTAATAACCTGAGGTACTCTAATGTCCTGGGGTCATTTGATAGTGTCTAAGCAAGGTCCCAGAGGCTGATTGGGGGAAATGCATTTGAGTGCTTGGTGGGGATGCTACCACCAAACCTACCAGATTCCTACTTTTCCATGGTTCCCAAAAGAGAAATGTTAAGAGGCTCTGATTCCTCTTTTCTTGGAAAGTATAAAGTTGCTAGATACCTCATAAGTGAGCCACTTGTCCAGTTCCCCATTTGGAGACCACTTTTTGGAGAGCTGGAATTTTGAGGGACAAAGAGATGATGTAACATGGGGGAGATTGTCTCTGCTACAGCCATTACGTGTCTCTGCGAGATGAATGCAAGCCTCTGTGTGTCTCTCACTCCTTTGTCCTTGACTTCCAGTCTTCCTTTCCTTTGCAAATAATCATGTAAATCTAACTAGCTGTTTGTTTTTTCCCCTGTCTTTTTCTTGCATTCATTTTCTGTGCTGCTTCGTTCTGTTCCATCAGCCCCATTGCAGCCTGGTAAGACCCAACTAGCGTGTCTATGTGTGCACATCCCTTCTTGCTATTGTCTCTTTGTCGCCTTACTTTAGGAAGGGCTATTTCCCTTCACGCCTTGCTGGCGTGAATGTCATGCTTGTCCTGCCAGCCCAGGATTCCAGATACGTGGTGTTGTCATTGGTATATACCTGACTAGTCTACCAGATTGAGCAAGTTACAGTGCTGGAGGGCCAACTTCTCTCCCCTAGACTTAGGGCTCCTTTTGACTGGGCCCCCTTCTAAGGCAAAGCTGGTCCCTTCTCACCCAGCTCATCAATGTGCTTTTCTTACTGCTTCTGCAGGTTAACTAGCCTGCCTTCTCTGGGAGATTCAGCACCTGAGCGCAAGTCCCCTTTGCACCACCGCCAGCCTTCTGATGCCTCTGAGACAACAGGTAAACTTTCTGGGGCTTGAACTATGTAGACACAGCTGTACACCTCAAGTGTAAGACCCGTTAGCTTTTTAATTGAACACATTATGTGCAAAACATTGTGTTAATATATAACATTTTCTAGAAATTCCCTTAGTTCTTTTATCAACTGTACAATGTAAATTTTGTTAAGTCTTATTTTATGCTTAAGGAAATGAGGTACAGAAGGCTTAAGAAACTCACCTGAGGATCAGTGGGAACCAGAATAAGGCCTTAAAACTATTTATACTCTAGAAGCCATGCTGTAGCCCGTTAACAGATTTCAGTCACACACACACACACACACACACACACTCCCACCCCTGCATACATGTGCAAGGTCTTGTACCCCTTTATCCCTTGGGGTGGAGGCAGTCAGGAGACAGAGCCTGTTTCTTTTAAGTTCTGTGTTTGTATATATATGCGGGGAGAAAAAGAATACTTTCTCGTGCCATTATCCTTCCTTGGACTTTGCAAAGGGTCAACCCTGTGCCATCCTGAGTTCTCCAGATCTGCAGTAAGGATCAACTGGTGTATTTGCTGGACATAATTTGACATAAAATGTGTCATCTTACTTGGCCTTCTATCCTAGGGTTTCTTTTCACTGCTGTGAGTTTTAAGGAGGTAGCTTGGACTTGGACAATCCAGAAAGATGAAGACATGTGCAATAGAGTCAATTTCAGGGCCCCAGAGAGGGATAATACATGAAATACAAAACAGGTTAATGGTACTTTTAAATCATTGAGGAAGGCAAATCATTTTCGTAGTTCATCTGTGGAGCATGTATCTGGGGAATTTGGTTAGTATAGAATAGCTTTCTGGGATAGCTTTCTGGAGGAAGAAACACATCAGGCCTTTCTTGGGTGATGTTGGCTTTTATGCACAAGCTTCTTCTGGTGGCAGGGTTTACCTAATCATTCTCCCTTCGTTCTCTCCATCACCAGGCCTTGTTCAGCGCTGTGTCATCATCCAAAAGGACCAACATGGCTTCGGTTTCACAGTCAGTGGGGATCGCATTGTTCTGGTGCAGTCGGTGCGGCCAGGTGAGTGTTACTTCTTTCTGAGGTGGGGAGTTCTTACAGATCAGCCATGGACTTTACAGTGCTGCAGGACTTGAATGGACTGGAGCCCAGGGAGCCCAGTGGAGGCCCAAGGAGCCCTGATGGACATGAATACCTTACCAGACCTGGTTTCCCAGGGACCTCTTTCACAATGCTAAACCATTAGGCAGAATTTCCAAGAAGCATTCTTCGTGTTTAACTGTTTGAAAGTGGAAGAACAGCAGAATATCCTGTTCTCTCAAACCTCCACATCAGACCTACTTTATATCAGTGGTGCTCTGCAGTGTTTATCCTTTTGTGACTGAGATATTTCACTCAGTAAGATATACTCCAGGTTCCCCCGTGTTGTGTATGTTTTATGAGTTCTTTGTTTTTCAGTGCTGCATAGTATTCCATTGTTTGACTGTATCAGTTTTTCTGTCCATTCATTTGTTGATAGACACTTGGATTTCTTCCATCTCTTTGCTATTGTAAATAATGCAGCAGTAAACATGGATGTGCATACATCTGTTTGGATGGCAGTTCTGGCTTTTTAGGATATATTCCCAGTAGTGGTATTGCTGGGTCAAATGATATTTCTGTTTCCAACTTTTGGAGAAAACACCAAACTGCCTTCCATAGTGGTTGCACCATTTTACATTCTCATCAGCAGAAAACAAGGGTTTCAATCTCTCCTCAACCTCACCAACATTTATTTTTTGCTGCACTGTTGAACTTTGTTATTGTTACGAGGGTAAGATGATATCTCATAGTGGATAGATTATGGCCATTGCATTGGAACGGATGAAAGAAAGAAGTGTCTAAAAGGAATATATGACTAGGCATTACGTGTACGACAACAGCCCAGAATAAGAGGTATATTATTGCAAAGAGGACTTTAGGGGAGAAGGGGGTAGGTAATTGTGCAACAGTGAATAAATGTGTTTTGTTTTGTTTTTTAAAAAAGTGAACTGGGGTAGGGGAAGAGAGGGAGAGAGGATAAAATGGGCAGCAGTGAAAATCTACTCTGTAAACGTTTATTAAAATCACAATTAAAATTGTACTAAAAAAGAAAACAATAACATTTACAATTAATAAGAAATCACAGCCTGAATGTGAAGTCTGAGAAGTCACCTTGGGAAAAGAGGACCTTGCTTTGAAATTACAACTGATAATATTTTTGAAGTAAAAATAGAAAACAGTAAAAAAAAAAAAAAAATAGTAAAATAGCACGCATATAATGAGATGATTTCCTGCTGTCCCCCATTCCCCAAGGGAGTTCCTTCCCAGAACAGGAAGGTGCCTCCACGCACCTTTCTTCATACAACCTTCACATGACCCATCTGCATAACATACATCACATTACCTTGCTAAGTCACACAAATAGTCTCTTCTGCAGAAGCCTACCACTTGAGACAGATACACTGTTCCAAATGATTATTGGACATGTTGGCAGATATGGTCAACATTACATAATAAATTACTTGAAGATAAATGATATATATTAGAAAGCATGTGAAAGGGAATAGTGTCTGGAAATTTGTGTTCAGGTTGTTTGTGGTTCTGGGCATAGTCATGACCCTTCAAGTCATTTTGAGGTTTGTTTTTTTTTTTTTATTAGAAGACCGGGATTTTAGGAGTAGTTTAAAAGATGGAAAGAAAAAACCAAATTGACAGGATAGGATTTGATGAGAATGGAATGAAAAGTTGAAGGGCGTTATTAAAAAAAAAATAATAATCAGTCAGGGAAGCTCTGGTGTCCTAGTGGCAAGAAGGTGCACTGCAATCCCAGAGGTAGGTGGTTCGAATCCACCAGATGCTCTGCTGGAAAAGGAGGGGTAATTTCTTCCTGTACTAGTCAGATCCTATTTGACAGTACATACACAAATAAAAGAAGGGAAAAAAACCCAACCAAAAACAGTCAAGTGACAGATAATATCTAGTTCAAAACACATTATTAGTTGGTAGAACCATTGTTGTTTTGTAACCAAGACTGAAAAAGACAAGAAGGAGGTGGGATGGACAGTGAGGCTGTGTAAGGTATAAAGCAAGGATGCATAAGAGGAGTGAACTTCAGTTTAGCAAATGAAAGCAGGCCTGCTGATGTGGTGTTAAAAATAAAAAGGAGTTATGGTGGAACTGTGGCTGAAAAGCACCCAGCATGCTCCAGGAGAGAAAGATGTGGCAGTCTGTTTCCCTAAATATTTATTGTCTCCTCCCCTTCCCCAAATTTTTATTGTGATTTAAGTGAAAATTTGCCGAGAAGTTCCACTCTTGTCATGAGTGTTGTATGAGGCTAAATTGAGTTGAAGGAAATGGATTTAACTTTTTAAAAAGAAGTTTATAGTGTAGTCTTGTTGTTTTTGTTGTTGTTATGTGCTAATACAATATTGTTGTTTTTGTTATTGTGTGCCATTGAGTCAACTGCAACTCATAGCAACCCTGTGAACAAAGGCTCTGAACCTGCCCTATCCTGAACATGTGTCAGCTGATCCCATCAAGAGTCTTCATCTCTTGCACCGATCCACACCTTTGCAACCATATTATCCTTCTTCAAGGACTGGGCCCTTCTGACAGTATGCCCAGTACATAAGAGTTTCACTATCCAGGACAGACCTGTTTGTTCTCTTGGCAGTTCCTGGACTGTGTTAGTACTCTTCTCTAGCACCACAACCAGACATCAATAATTCTGTCATCCTTAGTCATTGACCAGCTTTCAGATGCATAGCAAGTAATTCAAAGGACCATGGCTTGTATCAGTCGCACCTTAATCTTTAGATTGACATTATTGCTCTTTAGTACTCTGGAGAGGTCTTTGACAGAGATTTTTCCCAGCGCAGCTCATCTTTTGATTTCCTAACTGCTGATGCCAAGGGTTTCAATTGTGGTAAAATCATTGACAACTTTAATCCTTCTCTATCATGATGCTGCATACTAACCCAATGGTAAGGCTTTTGTTTTCTTGATGTTGATGCAGTCCATATTAAGAGCTGTGGTCCTTGATCTTCTACTGCAAGCGCTTTAAGTCCTCCCTTTCAGCTAGCAAGGTTGCGTCATCTATATAACGCAAGGTTGTTGATGAGTCTCCCCCTCATCCTTATGCCACACTCTTCTTCATAAAGTCCAACCTCTTGAGTGATGTGTTCAACATATATATTGAATAGTGTGTTGTTGTTGTTGTTGTTGTTGTTGTTGTTGTTGTTGTTGTTAGGTGCCTTCAAGTCAAGTACAATTCATAGCTACCCTATTACCAACAGATCTGAATCCTGTCCTATCCTGTGCCTTCCTCATCATTTCTAACATAGTATGAGCCCATTGCTGCAGTCTCTGTCAGTCCATCTGGTTGATGATGGTCTCTTGCCAACCCTACACTTGTCCAAATATTATTTCCAAGGAATATCTTCTCCTAACAACATGCCCAAAGTATGTGAGATGAAGCTTTATTATCTTTGCCTCCAATGAGCATTCTGGCTGTACTTTTTCAAGACATGTGTTTGTTCTTTTGGCAGTTCATGGGATGTTCAGTACTTTTCTCCAGCACCAGAGTTTAGAGGCATCAGTTCTTCTGTCATCCTTATTCATTGTCCTGCTATCAGATTGAGATTGAACTGACTGCAGTGACCATGGCCTGAATCATATACACCTTAGTCCTCAAACTAATATCTTTGCTCCTCAGTAATTTGGAGAGATCCCTCACTGTACACTTTCCCAATGCAAAGCATCTCCTGATCTCCAAGGGTATTGATTCTGGGTCCAAGTAAGATGAAGTCATTGACAGTTTCAGGTTTTCCTCCATCTGTCATGGTGTTGCTTATCTGTCCAGTGGTGAGAATTTTTGTCTTCTCAATATTGAGATACAGTCCAAATTGAAAGCTATAGTCTCTGATCTTCTGCAACAAGCACTTCCAAGTCCTCCTTACTCTGAGCAAGTAAAGCTATATCATTTGCATGACACAGGTTTTTGAGTCTTCTTAGATCCCGATACTACATTCTTTTTCAGAGTCCAGCTTCTCAAATCATATGCTCAATATACAGTCCAAATAGGTATGGAGAAAAGATGGAACCCTGACACACACCTTTCTTAATTTTAAACCGTGTAGTGTTCCCTTACTGTGCTTGTACCATTTATAATGTCTTGGAGAAAGATTTAGGATGTGTTTGTGGGACAAGTGAAAAGAGAATCACACATTTATGACAAAATTAGTTATATGAATCATATAAACAATTAGGGCTTCTTGTGTTTTGGGAGTTAACTCTTTCAACTGTTGAGAAGATTGTTTTTCATACCAGGGTTGTTTTTGTTGTTGTTATGTGCCGTCGAGTCGTTTGCGACTAATAGCGACCCTATGTACAACAGCCCTAAACCCTGCTCTATCCTGTGCCAATCACATGGCCTCTTGACACACCCATCCTAGTTACCCCAGTCACTGAATCAATCCACCTCATAGAGGTTCTTCCCCTCCTACACTGTCCCTCCACCTTACCAAGCATGATGTCCCTCTCCAAGGACCTGTCTCTCCTTAACAACATGTCCAAAGTATGTCAGACGAAGCCCCAGAATCCTTGTCTCCAAGGAGTAGCTTGGTTTAACCCTCTCCACGATGAATCTGTTTGTTTTCTTGGCAGTCCAGGGTACATTCAATACTTTTCTCCAGCACCACAGCTCAAAGTTATTGTCCAACTCTCTGATGCATAACAAGTGATTACAAAGACCATGGCCTATATCAGATGCACCTTAGTCTCCAGAGAGACACCATTGTTCTTGAGTACTTTAAAGAGGTCCCTAACAGCAGACTTTCCCATCGCAATAAGTTTTTTGATTTCCTGGCTGCTGGTGCCAAGAGTGTTGACCGTGGAGCCAAGCAAACTGAAGCTGTGAACAATCTCAATCTCTTTGCCATCCATTCTGATTCTACTAATTGGTCCAGTGGTGAGAATCTTTGTCTTCTTGACATTGAGCCTCAGTCCATGCTGAAGGCTGTAGTTCTTGACCCTCTACAGCAAGTGCATGAGGTCCTCCTCAGTTTCGGCAAGCAGGGTTGTGTCATCTGCATAACGCAGATTGTTAATAGATCTTCCACCAATCCTGATGCCGCACTTCTCCCCATAGAGTTGCTATAATCAAGGATGCATACCAGGGTAGAGCTCTGAAAAGACACTCTGAGTCTTTGTTTCCTTTATTCTCTCAAGGTCCCCGGACTAGGGCAAAATAGAACTAGTGATAGTGCCAGGAAGATGGAAAGTATGGAATCCCCTCTAGTTAATTTCTGTTTAACTATTTTCCTTCCTCTTAGACTGGAGTAGAATCAGACCTAGAAAGGAAAAAATAAAAATGATAGTTTGCAATAAAATAGCGAGTTTTAGAAAGGGAGACATGGGATACTTATCTGGATTGGCATTGAAACTTAAAGAATAATAAAGCAGTTGTTCTTTTGATCTGTATTTCTCTTAAAAATCTTAATTACTGTAATGATTAGATTTAACACAGTAATTTCATTCTTCCTAGATAATAAACTAATTGGATATTGGAACATATTTACACACATTTAAATAAAGCACACAGAGCATGTATACACATGTTCTTCTTGGCCCTGTGTTCTGACATGGCCTGCTTATTTATAGGAAGTCTGTTCCTGGAGCAGAATAGGATATACACCCAATGTTCGGGATACCTAACCTAAAACGAAGTTCTAGTTGTGCTATGGTTAAACCCTCTGCTGCTAACTGAGCAAGAGAAAGATTGTAATAGTCTGCCTCCAAAGATTGTAATAGTCTGCTTCCATAAAGATTATGGGAACTTGAAAATCCTGTGAATCAAGTCTACTCTCTACTGTGGGATTGCTGTGAGTTGGAATTGACTAGTTGGAAATGGGTTTAGCCTAGCACAGACATGAGAGGACATTCTGGAGGGAGGCCACCAAACAGGGACTGTGGGCTAGTGACCTCAAGAGGTTGTTAGACTCTGTTGACCAGGCTTTCTCTTTATAGGAGGCGCAGCCATGAAAGCCGGTGTGAAAGAAGGAGACAGAATCATCAAAGTAAGTGAGCCCCCTCTCTCTGTCCACCCCTGGGCAAGCAGGCAGGGTATGGTCACCTGTAGTCTTGACTCATCCTACAACTCGGAGCTGCCAATCAGCCACTGACTTGGGGAGTGGTCCCATGAGGGTGAATATTGTAGATTATGAGCAAAAGTAGGCATTGAAATAATGGAATTCTGTTTTCTATAGCTTTTCTTAATTCTAAAGCAAAGGTTTCTTAACTCAGATTTTATTAACCCTGTGTCACAGATGACAAAAGTACTATTGGGAACGAGTGTGACTAATAACGTGTTCATTGGGAGGTTGATGGATATTTTGGTCTCTACAGAATACTAACCTGAAATTCTTGCCAGCTCTAAAATACCATAATCTGCCCTTTTTGTTAATACTTTATTTAGCAGATTATTAGCAGTGTTAAGGAAATACTAGATAAGGAAAATCCCTTCGTGAGAATCTAAAAGGAGGAAGTAGTGTATGTCACTTTACATATACATATGCATAAGGCTAGTCATTGAATAAGTGTGTGCCAAAAATAAGTGAAAATGCACTTTCCCCCTGGAAATAAGCTACCTTCAGAGAATAAACGCGTAGCAGATGTGAACAGAGTAACCAGACACATGTAAGGAACATTGGAGAATGGTCTCCTGAGTTAGTGATTTTTTTTTGATCATGTAGAAGGATGTCTGAGGTTTCCACCACCACTACTCAATATCCTTTTTTCCCCCTAACAGGTGAACGGCACCATGGTGACCAACAGCTCACACCTGGAAGTGGTAAAGCTTATCAAATGTGAGTGGAAAACAAAGAAAATTGGGGAAGAAAATGGTCTGAGAGGAAAAGGAGTAGGAAAGCAGAGGCCTTATACACTAGGAGACAGCATACCTTTGTGAGAGAGCTAAATAATATCTTCAGTCTTTACATGGAGTCACTTAGGTTATCAAATTTCATATAATTATTTCAAGTGGAGACACTACGTCAAGTTTCCCTTCTGGCATCTTTTCTTTCACCCACACCCATTTTTTGCCACTGCTGTTTACACTGTACTACTGAGACCAGGTCTCATTTATATACAGTTACCCTTCACATTCACAGACATTCTTCCTCACTTGTTTCCTATTTTGGGAGAAAGCTAAAATGTTCTTTGTTGGAAAGGCACGTTAATTGAATCTATGCTGGTAATCAAAGCAGCAGACGTTGAAGAAGCAAACGTGTGACCGTTTGGAGAGGGTAGAGGGCTAAAATTTGGGTGCCTCCTACATGCCAGGCAGGACTTTACATTGAATAATTAATTTAATGATATACAGGGGGAAATAAAGTGGCTTATAAGGAGTATTCTCACATATTTATGGCTGAAATTTTGGTTAATGTCTCCACATGAACAAAGAAAAGATACAGGGTATCTTAAGATACAGGGACAAGAGGGCAATAATTAGAGAATAGATGGAATGTTAGACATAAGAACTTAAGCTGTAGAATTATGACAAAAGGAGAAGGTGAAGGAAACCCATCCTTTTTTACTTGTTACTAAATTAACTTTTTAAATTATTTATTTATTTTAGAAGTTTAAAGGACAAATTGATTTGCCATTCAAAAATTCATATACATTTTTTTGTTGGGGGCTACTCTGTGATTTTATTTGGGAGGATATTTTATTCTTTTCATTTTTTATTTTAATGCAAACTTAACTAATCATACTGCTTTTTAATTCAAACATTCACAGACGTTTTGTTTTATAACATTAATTACCACTGATTAATGTAATGAAAGGGAGCTCTGGCGGCTTAGTGGTAAGGAGATTTGCTACTATCCTAAAGGCATGTGGTTTGAATCCACCAATTCCTCTGTGGGAGAAAGCTGGGCGGTTTCCTCCCATGCAATTTACTGCCTCTGAAAACCCAGTGGAGGGTCAGCTATGAGTCAGTTTTAAGTTGATGGTACATAACAGCAGTGTAATGAATAACAACGTCTGTAATCAGTCCCTGATTGTGTATTACATTTCTCTTCATCCAGCTTATTTATTTTTACTCCCCTCCCATCCCTCTTAACTCTCTTAAGATTTATTCTATCTGTATTTAAGACTTTTGTTAGTTTTTTATAAGTCTTATACCATAATTGTTCTCTTGTGACTCATTTACCTAACTGAGCATAGTTTGTTCTAGACTCATCCATGTTGTACAATATTTCACAAATCTCTGATCATTTTAGTGATATATAATACTCCGTTGTGTGAATGTGTCATGGTTTCCTTAGCCATTTGTCCATTGATGGACACAAGGGTTGTTTCCAACTCTTTGCTATAATAAAAACTGTAAATAATTCTGTAATAAACATGGGTATAATTATGCCAGTTTGTGATGCACTCATTTCTTTGAGATATATGCCTAGTAGATGGTGTGCTAGATCAAATAGTATTTCAGGTCCTACTTTCCAAAGGAAATGTCTTTCTGTAGTGTTTGTGTCACTTTACATTCCCATCACCTCCACTCTCTCCACACTCTCCCCAGCATTTGTTGTTTGCTGTCGGGTTGAACATTGCTATTGCGATGAGATGATATTTCATTGCTGTTTTATTTCCATCTTGTTGTTGTTGTTGTTATGTGCTATCGAGTCACTTGTGACTCATAGCGTCCCTATGTACAAGAGCTCTAAACTCCGTTCTATTCTGTGACAATCTAGCCATCTCAAACACACTCAGTCCCACCACTCCAGTCACAGATTGATCCATCTCATCGAAGTTCTTCCTGTCCTGCACCGCCCATCCACTCTGCCAAAAAATGATGTCCCTCTCCAAGGACCAGTCCCTCCTTGCAACATGCCCAAAGTATGCCAGACGAAGCTTTAGAATCCTTGACTCCAAGGGCATTCCAGCTTCACCTTCTCCAGGACAAACCTGTTTGTTCTCCTAGAATATACCTAGCAATGGTATATTCAACACTCTCTTCCAGCACCACAGCTCAAAGGCATCAATTCTTTTTCTGTCATCGTTAGTCACTGTCCAACTCTCTGACACATAGCACATAATTGCAAAGACTATAGACCAGATCAGGCGCACCTTAGTCTCCAGCCTGACATCGTTGCTCTTCAGTACTCCTGAGAGGTCCCTCACAGCTTACTTTCCCAATGCAATTCGTCTCTTGATTTCCTGGCTGCTGTTACCAAGAGTTGACTGTAGAGCCAAGTAAACTAAAACCGTTAACTATCTCAATCTCTTCACCATGCATACTGATGCTGCCAATTGGCTCATTGGTGAGAATCTTTGGTTTTTTTTTTGATGTTGAGCTTCAGTCCATATAGGAGGCTGCAGTCCTTGACCTTCTATAGCAAGCGCTTCAGATCCTCCTCAGTTTCAGCGAGCAGGGTTGTGTCATCTGCATAATGCAGGTTGTTGATGACTCTTCCACCAATCCTGATGCCACATTTCCCTCTATTAATGCTAATAATCATGAGCATTTCTTCATGTGTGTTGACTGTCTGAATGTGGAAGCCCTTTGTGTTTTTCCCCCCACAAATAATAATTTTTATTTGTAATTATTAAAAGGCTGAATTTTAAACAGATTCTTGAACTGGTGGCTCATAACCATCAGCTCATTCAACTTTTGCACCTGTCTCATCTCCAGTAGCTTTTCCAGAGCTACCACCTTCACCATGAAGCTCCATGAGTTTGTCCAATTCAAACTTGGGCTTCTTGAGCATTTTTACTTTCCTAACAAATACATCATGGAGAGGATAGAGAGATTGGCAAGTCTTTTCTGTGTCTTTTCCAGTGCTGTCTGGAATCAGTTTATTGACCACCTCTTTCAAGTGATTTGTCTGCACTTCTCGGGTCATGATTTCCATCATTTTCTTCCGGATTTGGCGGACCTGTTGGTGCTGAGCATAAGATGTCTTCCGAATCTGATTGTTGGGTCTTTTTGTAAAACCAACACAAAATAGATGGAGTAAATAACCATTGGTGGTTTTGACATCAACATGTGCTTCAATCATGGTCTGCCATTTTTTTACCGTGGAGCACATTTTGTCCCGGGTAAGATCCATGCCATGGAAGTTGGTGAGGCAGTTTTTGCCTTGAACATCCTCAGTAATTAGCTTGAATTTTCTAAACGCAACTTCATCAATTTGCAAATCAGCAAGGCTCACTTCAAAAACACGACCCTTGAGTCCATCAGGCGCAATTTTGGTTCCTTGAGTCCTTGTGACTAATGTCTTCCCAATATTTCTTATATTTAACATTGCTGGTGCCTTTACATCATACCAATCTTTCTTAGAAAATGGATCAACCACTTTCTTCTTGGCTCCTTTTTTGCCACCTTTTGTAAGGCGCTTGTTCTTGCCGACCGCCATGGTCGTGCCGAAAGAATGAAAAGGACGGAAGTGTCAGAAGCCCTTTCTTTATGACATGGCTGTCTGCCTTTCTAGAACAATATAGCTTAAGTAAACTCTCTTTATCTTGTTTTCCTCCAGCTGGTGCCTATGTTGCACTGACTCTCCTGGGCCCTTCACCCTCATCTGTTGGAGTCTCTGGGCTACAGCAGGACCCAACTCCGTCAGGAACTCCCCGAGTAACCTCTGTGATCCCACTACCACCTCCACCACCTCTACCACCTCCACAGCGCATTACAGGACCCAGGCCACTCCAGGTACTCACCTTTCTCACTGTTTTCCTTTAAAAGAGCTCTGCATTGGATAAGAAAACAGGTTGAATGTAAAAAGATTTTGATATACAGAGATAAGCCAAAGAAATATATGACAGCCCATAGAAACATTGACAAAGGTGGCATTGGTGGATTGTTCCATGCCTTAGTATCCTCTTTGTATGCAAATGTATGTACAGTTTTTACCAATAGCAAGCCACATGTAACATGTTTCTTCCCAATGTGAAAAAGTGTAAGGAGACCCTTCAGGAGTGCACCTCCTCACAAGAGAGAGTTCACACTTTCAGTCTTGATCAGAGAACATCTATTAAAGACTGTTTGCAATTAATGTTTGAGAGTGTAGAGTCGAGTTTAGTAGGGAAAGGAGTTTTTAGAAGAAATACACTGCTTGGAGGAGGGATACATAGAGCCAGTTAGGTAGAAAGAGGGTGTCAGAAAAAGATTAAAACGAGTAAAGAGAAAACCCAAGGACAAAAGGAGAGACTGTATAAGGAGTTAAAAGAGGACAAGATGCACGTTGGTATATGAAACAAGATTTTCTGATTGGAAAGGAAGCTGACCTCACAAATATATAGGAGACAAAGAAATCAGAGAACAGTTTGTTACCGTGGTTTGTAGGAAGTTGAGAATGAAAGTAAACATTTTTTCCCCCAGGTACTAAATTCCAGTGAGGTACTGAGTGTATCTAAAAACACACCTGTAACTCAGGTTTTACTCTCAGTAGCTAGCTTCTTTTCTTGAGAATCTTCTTTGCCCAAGAATCAGCAGATTGGAAAGTTAAGGAATTGAATTGGTCCCCCAACTCTCACTGTCCTATTTTCCATTCTAGGATCCTGAAGTTCAAAAACATGCTACACAGATCCTTAGGAATATGCTCAGACAAGAAGAGAAAGAGTTACAGGTAAGGCCTTTGTTGAGAGTAGATTGACATTGCCTTGTGAAATGATATTTGATCAGAGCAATCTGCCAATACATATAACTCAAGTTATACAGTATCACAATAAAAACTTACAAAGTAAAATTCCAGGACTATAGAATTTACACAATAGAATTTGTGAAAGCAGAATTTGATCAGTTGAATTAGTAGGATAATAGAGCTCATATAGGATAGGATAGTAAACATATGGACAAAATGCAAATAAGTACTGTGAAACCATGAGAATAAAAGGAGAAATACTGGACCTGAGAAAAATCAAAGTCAGTTGGAATTAACCTTGGAGATATCCAAGGAAGGGCAGGAATAGCAGGGGTAGGTGAAGGCTAAGGCAGAATGATGGAGATGGAGCATTGTTGCTGTGGAGATGAATAGAAGTTTGCAGGCGTGGGAAGGGTGTACACAGGGAACAATAGACTGATTCATTTGGCTGAAGGAGAAGAACCAGATTTCTACTATAGAAATCTTGCTACTATCTCCTTACCCCTTTGTTTCTATTCAACAAGTTACTTTTAAGTGCTCACATTGTTTTAATTCCTATGGCGCATGTTGTTGTGTGAGGTCAAGTCAGAACCAAGTCAAAGCTGACTCTTTGGCAGGTTTTCAAACACTGTAAATCACATGGGAAGAGATTGCCCATATTTCTTCCTCAGAGCGGCACCCATATTTCTTCTTTGGACTGCCCATTGTATTCAGACAGCCTCTCCTTACCCATTGGGCCACCAGAGCTCCCTTATGATGTGTGGTGGAGGGGTTGTGTCAGAATCAACTCATAACTGACCTTCCGGCAGGTTTTCAGAGGCAGTTAATTGCACAGGAGGAGATTGTCCATCTTTCTCCTGTGGAGTATGGAGATTTGAATCATGTATTTTTGGGTTAGCAAAGCAACTCTTTACCCACTAATCCACCAGTTGTTGTTGTTAAATGCTGTCGAGTCAAGTATGACTCATTATGACACTATGAACAAAAGATCCGAACCCTGTTCTATCCTGCACCATCCTCACACTTTCTGACACACAAGAGCCCATTTCAGTAGCCCGTGTCAGTCCACCTTGTTGAGGTTCTTCCTTTTCTTCGCCGACCCTCCACCCTTCCCAGTATCATGTCCTTCTCCAAGAACTAACCCCTCCTAGCAACATGCCCAAAGTAGGTAAGGCAAAGCCTCATCACTGTTGCCTCCAAAGAGCACTCTGGGTGCACCCTCTCCAAAACATAGCTGTTTGTTCTTTTGGCCATCCATGGGATGTTCAGCGCTCTTCAACACCATAGTTAAAAGCATAAAAAATAAATCTTTTCTCTGTCATCTGTATTCATTATCCAGCTGTCAGATGCATAGCAAGTACTCAGAAAGACTATGGCCTGAATGAGATGCACCTTAGTCCTTAAACCGAGACATCAGAGCTCCTGCCAAAAGAGGAGAAGGTGTTTCAAAACACCCATTAAAACCCAATTTCTGTTTTGTCATACAAGGAGATCTGGTGGCCTTATCAGTAGGGAGTTACCCTGCTCATCCCAAAGGCCACAACTCTCTGGAGGTTCAAAGCCACAAGCAGTTCAGAGGAAAAAAGGTCGACAATCTCTTCTCATCTGGATTGCAACCTTCAGAACTAGTGGAGGGTCAGTTGAGGCCGATATGGTACATAGGGATTAAAAAAAAATTCAACAGTTCTTGATCTCAGCATGTTTAAAATATAATGAGAGAGAGAATAGGAAAAGAATGGATAGATAATGAACACTGTATTGGAATAGGTGAAGAAGATAACTGTTTAAAGGAACATATGATTAGACATTATATGTAAAACAATGGTCTAGAATAGAAGGTACATTGCAAAGAAGAGTGGAAGGGGAAGGGAGGAAATTGTGCAGCAATGAATGAATGAAAATCCAGCTTTTCTGCAAAACTGGTTAAAACCACAATTAAAAAGTTTTTTTTTAAAAGTGATTGTACCAGTTTATTCTTACACTTATAAAAAAGTCTAATGGGAGAAAATTCAAATATGAGAGAGAATAGATATTTTAAAAATGGAGAAAAAATTAATAATGAGAGCTATAGAAAGACTTCTCAGAAGGTGTAACAGTGTTTCACCTGGGCCTTGAAGAGTAGGATTGAGAAGGCAAGAGAGCTGGGGGAAGGAATGCTAATGAGTGGATAGTGTAAATCAAAGGCACAGAGATGTGAAAATTCCTTTCTTTAACAAGCATTGGGTTCCTGCTGTGTGTTAGGTATTGTACCAAGCACGTGTGAGTGAGACATGGGATCTTAGGGCAGTCATACTGAACTTCTCATTGCTGACCTCCAAGGGTTTTCAGAAAACAGTAAATTGCATGGAAGGAGATTGAGCATCTTGCTCACATCGAGAAGCTGGTGGGTTTGGAACTGCAAGTCTTTGGATTGGCAGCACAACTCCTTACTACTAAGCCACCAGAGTTCTTGGTATATTAATAGTTAACATACATTATAATAAATGTTAGTATTTTCATATTGACAAAATGTCACAGAATAAACAAAACAATATGATACTGGCATAAAGATGGACTTACAGATCAATGGAATGATACTGAGAATGCAGAAATTTAACTTTCACATCTGTAGTCAGTTGTTTCTCAATAAAGTTGCAAGACAATTTGATAGACAAAGATTAGTCTCTTCACGGAATGATTCTGAGACAACTGAATATCCACATGCAAGAGTGAACTGAGACCCCTGTTAAATAATATGCAAAAATTAACTCATGCCATATCACAGTAAGGGACAGATTATGAGGGTTAAAGTCTGGAATATAAGCATTAAAGCTATTAAAATTACATAGCTTCTAAGAACTTTAAAATAGTTTAGAAGAAACATAGTATAAATCTTTCTGACCTGTGACAAGGCAGCAGGTTTCTTAGATATGACATCAAACACTCAAGCAACCAAAAAGAAAATAAATACAGTGGACATACCAAAATTTTTGGTACCAAAGGGCACTGTCAAGAAAGTTGAAAAGACACAAAATGGTAGAAAATATTTTTAAGTTATACATCTGATAAGGCTCTAGGAACACAATTAATAAAGGACCCCTCCGACTCAACAATAAAAAGGCAAACAGCCCAGTTTTTAACTGGGCAGAGTATTAGCATAGGTGGTTCACTGAAGACAATATACAGTAATCAGTAACCATGTTAAAAGATGTTCAATATCATTAGTTTTTAAAGACACATAAATCATTAATAAAATGAGATGCCACTTTACACTCACACTCTCTCATTGCTGTTGAATTAGAAGGCATAGCTGAGTTTCTGGGCCTGCAAGTCACATGGTCCTTGGCCTTTGGCTTAGCACACAGCTCCCTAGCACTTCACCATAAGGACTCCCTGTACAACCAGTAGGATGGCTGTAATCAAAAATACAGAAAATCGGCCAAGATATGGAGAAAGTGAAACCTCATGCATTAGTAGTGCAAGGAAAATAAAAATCTATTCACACAGAAAGGTATATGTAGATGTTTCTAGCAGAACTAGTCATAATAGCCACAAAATGATAACAGTCCAGATGTCCACCAACTGGTGAATGAATAAACAAAATGTGGTTTATATTAGTATTATTCCTTGGCCACAAAAAGAAATGAAGTAGTAATATAGTCTACAAAATGGATGAACCTTGAAAACATCATTCTAAGTGAAAGAATCCAGACATGATTGCAATGATTCTAGTTGTGTATGTGTTTGGAATAGGCAGATCCATAAAAAAACAAAAAGTAGATTGAGAGTTGGCCAGAGTTTGTGGGGTCAAGAGAATTGGGAGTGACTGCTGACAGATAGATACGAGTGTCTTTTGGGGGTGATGGAAACGTTTCAGAATTAGATCGTATAATGGTTGCACACATTGTGAATATAATAAAATTCAAGAAATTGTACATTTTAAAATAGTGACTTTTGTGTTATGTCAATTATATCTCAGTAACATTTTTAAAATATTTCTTTCAAATGCCATAGAAATCCAGAAAACAAAATAATTTTCATTATGAGTGGGGTTGATGATAGTCATAGAAGGCTTCTGGGGTAGTGCTTGAGTTTAGTGTAGTGAGAATAAAACATTGACATTATTATTGTTGGAGATAGAACATTGGAAAGTGTTTTGAGCTGTGAATACCAGGAATTCTGGAAGCAGTGGGACTTGGCCAAAGGACTTAAAGGAGTGTGATTACATTTTCAAATCCGTATTTTAGAGCCGTTGTTGTTGTTGTAAAGTGCTGTCAAGTCATTGGCGACTCATAGTGACCCTGTGAATGAAAGTCCTCAACACCTGCATGTTCGTATGAACCTCCAGGTTCATAGGGTTTCTGGAGGCAAGCTCTTTACGGAAGAGGATGCCACTCCTGCGTCCAGGCTTGTTTTAACCGGGGAGCATCACCAAACACTGTCCGCCATGGGTAACCGTTACTGCATTTGACACGTCAGTGTCACAGCTGTATTTTAAAGAAATGTTTTAAAAGGGTTGTTGAGGGAAACCAGCTAGGGAAGCTATTGCAGCATTGCAGAAAGGAAATTTAACAGGTCAAATGAAAAACAAAGGAGAGACAGACAGAAATGGGGACCTCAGATTTCAAAACATCAAGCATATCGACTAGAAGGGGAAGGTAAGAACAGAGAAGAAAGAATAAAAGAAAACCTCATGTTTAAATGCCATGTTAATGCCAATGATCCATTAAAATAGGAAAAGACATGAACGTCAGTGTAGATAAATTCAATTTTATTTGCCCCTGGGGGGTAAAACTTAGTCTCACATACTTTGTGCATGTTGTCAGAAAAAGGACATCTTGCTGGGAAAGGTAGAGGGTCAGAGAAAGAGAGGAAGACCCTCAACAAGAGAGACTGACACAGTAAATTTAACCATGAACTTAAGATGATGAAGGTGGCACACAGGATGGACATGATTCAGATCTTGTCTTCATGGGCTCCCTGTAAGTCATAGTTGATTTTATGCCGCCTAACAACAACATGGAACATTCAGATAAAGAACAGAGATAGGGAGACAGCAGCGATGAAATTCAGGGTTGGAGGAGAGGGAAAGAGGGAGAGAGAGAACTGGTTTGAACTAGTCTGGTAGTTTCAGTATAAAGGTGGTCATTGAACTTGAGGACTGGAGGAGTTCATCCTAGGCACTAGTGCAGAAAACTGAAGATGCATTTTTTGGAACTTAGATGCTTCTGTAGCCCACTGTACCAACCTCTAACATCACCGCACTTGCAAATATATTCATATTGTAGTTTTTACTTGTCCTTTTCCCCAAATGGACTAAGTTCCTTTTTAGAGATAAGGAGCATGGTTTTCGCTCTATATTTGTATAGATGCCTCCCAACACACAGTTGGCACAGTGTCTGGCATATATTAACTCTCAGTAAATGTTTGTATAACTGATAAGTTAGCCTAGATTTAAGAGAGGAGGCAGGGATGAAAGCTGAAGTTGGAGTGTGAGGAGAACCAACACATCGTAGTTAGGAAGTCAAGAATAGAATCCTTTCAAGAGGGGAAGATCCAAAAGAGGTAAGGACTAAGACTAGACCATTGAGTTTGACAGGAAGGCCATTTTGCTCCTTAAAAGAGTAGCTGTAAGGTGGCTCGGGTGGCCTACTGGCAAGAAGCTGTGCTGCAGTCCCGAAGGCATGTGGTTTGAATCCACCAGATGCTCCCCTGGAGGAGGGGCACTCTCCTCCTGTACCAATCGGATCTGACTCAATGGTACACAACAAGTAGGTGGAGGAAATTTTAAAAAAGCTATAGTGATGAAGTGAAGAGGAAACCAGAGTGTTGTATGTTGAGACATGATTGGAAGAAGTGTGAAACTCTAAATGTAGATAGACACTGTTTTGAAGAAGCAGTTAGTGACTTGAATAATTGGGACTGATGAAAAGATTTTCAGTTTTTCCTTTAAAGTCAGAAAATGTGAGCCTTTTTAGTTCAATGAAGGGAAGAAGCCATTGGAAAGAGTTTGAAGGTAAATAAATGCCTTTATAAAGAATTTTGGATAATGTCTCTTGTGAACAGCAGGAAAAGAATGGCCAGAGAAGCAGAGTTAAGGGGAATGGTGGTTCAAGGTAGAGGTCTTTCATGCTGTGCATTTCAGTCACTATACCTCTCTGCAGTCACCACCCACCTGTCAGTGGAGCCTTTCATGTTGCTGTGATGCTAAGATAGACAAGAAGAAGGACTTGTGGTCTACTCCCTAAAATCAGCCCGTGAAAACTATATGGATCATAGCAATCCAATCCCTTTGTGCTGTGAGTTGGAGGCCAACTCAGAGAAGATAACAACAAAGTTGTGAAGGTTGGAGAAAGTAAAATAGTATGAGAAATTTATAAAGAGATTGTCATTTAGCAGTGAGGCTACAGATGACCTTTGATAATGTGTGAACCCAACATCTTTATTTAACCAACACGATTTATTGAGCATTTTTAAAAATATAATAATAGTAGCTGCTATGTGTTCAGTTTTAACTGTGTGCCTGATTCTTTGCTAAGTACTTTATATAATCACATTCAGACTTACTGCCATCCCGTGAGGCAGGTATTGTCATCTCCATTTTATCAGTGAGGTCATATTGAAGCTTGCCCAGGTCTGTACAGCTAGTAAGTGTGCACACCCAGCTCTCCCTGACTGCAAAGCACTGCCCTGCTCTCTGTGTGTGCGGTTGAGGGGTCCTGGGTGAATGTTAGAATTGCTTCCTAGTTATGGGACTGAGGCTGGGAGTAACTGGGTCCACTAACTAGTGCTACTTCCCCTTCTCCTGTGGTGTTCACTGTCTAAATGTCTCTTTAGCACTTCTTTGTGTACTAGCCTGGACTGTATTATTTTATGTCTGACTAGTAGCCAAGGAAGACAGCCTTATTTAAAATGTGAATGAACTGAAGTTGGAATTGGATGTATGGGCCAGATTTGGACACAGGCCTTTGTGTTTTCTCTCTCTTCTCCAGTTGCCTCATGTATTCCATTTTTAATCATTTATGCCTTTTTCTAATCCTAGTAATGGTGAAATAATGTGCATCTACTAGAAGACTGAGTTCTCTCCTTTCTGCTCTTTGTCTTGGGATAAACTGTCTCTTTCCCCCACTGTTGAGTCATCCATTCTCTACTAACCACTCCCTCTGCCTTTTCCTCCTCCCTCTCCTCCTCACCCATCCCCCAGCGTATCTGTGAGGTATATAGCCGGAACCCCACCAGCCTGCTGGAAGAGCAGATCGATGGTGCCCGGCGGCGAGTCTCTCAGTTACAGCTGAAGATCCAGCAGGAGACTGGTGGCTTAGTGGTGAGTGATGGTAGGCGCAGCTCTAGGAAAGGCATTATACGTATGACTGAGGATAAAATCAGGGGGAAAGGTCAGAAGGCTTCCCGAGTCACACTAGGGCTGAAAAAAAAGAACAAAAGACAACACTTACTTCTTTAGCTCCACAGAGGCAGAGCACTGTCCCTAGCAGTTGGATACCATATTTTTTTTAAACTTGCTATTTTTTGCCATATTGTTAGGTGCCATCAAGTTGAATATGATTCAGAGCAATCCTATGACCAACAGATCTGAATCCTGTGCCATCCTCACCATCTCCAACACACGTAACACCCATTGCTGCAGTCACTGTGTTATAATTGCCATGGAAAGTAATAAATCAGAGTATCCACTTATTCATACACTTCTGAATAGTTTTCTCAAAATTGATATTCTTAGATTAGTTTTACTGATTATTCACCTGGTAGCTTTTTCTCCAACCTCCCTCAGGTAGAGAACTCTGGTCATAGGGAAGCTCATGGCTTACCAAAATCAAAGTATCTCTAGTGGTTCAAATCCACCAACTGCTCCTTGGGTGAAAGATGGGTAACCTCTCCCATGTGATTTATAGCCATGGGCCCAAGGGAAGGGTCAGCTCTGAATCTGTTTTACCTTGACAGCAATGAGTGAGTAAGTGACCCTTCAAGTTACAGGACTTCTTGTAGGAACTTAAATACAAGTATGCTGAAGTAAGGGATCTCCAGTCAATTCAGAAGGATCTAGCTCAGCAGATAGATATTTATGGAAAATTTCAGAGAATAGGTGTCAGGGGTTTTTCCTCTTCTGGTCAGAGTCTTTACCTTTAGTGTTTTACTTCCAGCAGGCCTTAATTAATTTGTTAAAAGCAACTAGAAACAAGCGGTGCTCTGATGTCGTAGTCCGTAGGAAGTTGCTCTGCTGACCAAAGGCTCCTCCTTCCTGATGCTTCAAATCCATTCATAGCTCCTCGGGAGAGAGATGGGCTCTCTCCTCCTGGGCCGGATACAGACTTGGATGCTCAAGGAGTCAGTTTTGTTCTGACGGCAATGAGTTGGGTTGTTCAAGAGTAGTATTTTTCAAAGCCAGTAAAATCAATCTCAGCCTCTCTCTCACTCTCTCTGTGTGTATATATGTGTGTGTATATACATATGTGTGGATATATACATATATGTATATGTGTGTATATATAAAATATGTCTGTTTCTGCTTCTCTTTCTTTCTTGTTGCCATGGGGTCAGAACCCACTCATAGCTGACCCTCTGTTGGTTTTCCCAGGCTGTAAATCACAGGAGTTGAGATTACCCATCTTTCCCCTGAAGAGCCACTGGGGGATTGAAACCACCAGAGAGGCATGGCCTTTGGATTAGCAGCAAGACTCCCTACATACAGACTAGGTCACCAAAGCTCCCTATTTAGAGATTGTTGTTGTATTCCGTCAAGTTGGAACCAGCCCCGTAGCTGACCCTCCAGCAGGTTTTAAGAGACAGTTAATTACTTGGGAGGAGATTGTTCATCCTCCCGCAGAGCCGCTAGTAGATTCAAGCTGCATGCCTTTTGGATTGCAGCACAGTTTCACGTAATTCAGTCCAGGCTTTCAAAAGTATCACAAGCTAATGAAATTCAAATCCCAACTCAAGTACTCACTAACTTTAAGATCTTTGGCATGTTACTTAATTTCTGAGAGCATCAAATTTCCTTGTTTGTATAATGGAGATCACAATATCCAACAGTAATAGTATTATTGGGAGATGTGAATCATGCCCTGAACATAGGGATCAGTACTTAATGTGTCATGGCCATGGTTTATGTCAACACTTTCTTAGAACCTTCAAGTAGTGTGTCTGAAACACTAGGTTTGGAACCTGGAGACCTGAATTTAAACCGTAATGTATCATTTACCTGCTTGTAGCTTGGGCATGTTGCTTAAGATTGCTAAGCTTCTATTTCTTCATTTATACTGTGGGTATAATGTATACCTAACTCAGACTTGTTGAAAGATTAAATGAGCCATAAAGCACAGTCCACATAATGTCCTACCCTTGGCTGGATCAGTCAATCCCAGGACAAAGCTGTTCAGTTCTCTTTACAGGTAGACCTTTGACGTGGTAGACCTTTTACAACTTGATTCAGTCATCGGTTATTTTTACTCTATGATAGGATATTCTTTCTTTTCATATGTCTAACCAACTTAAGTAATAGATAAATTGGTAACTTTGATGAATAAAGTGAGATCTTAGAATTGTGCTAATGGAAAATCTCTCATTCCATCATTTCCAGGGGTCACGTAAGCAGTGCAAATGAAATAGTATCTTTTCTAGCTGGACAGTTTAAGCCAATGACACAGAAGCAGCTACCATTTTAAACCAAGAAAACTTTGAATAGAAGAATGAAACCATAGGAGAATTTCCCAAAATTTACCTACTTTGTGGGCCTTTCTTTTCAGGATATACTCCCACCATATGGTGATACAAGCCAGAGATCATCAGAAGGTAAGCCTCCACCACTCCCTTCTCTGGCCTATCTTTAGCCCAAGTCTCTTATCTACTGGATAGGTTTGGGGAAAGAAAATACAAAATAATGATAAAAAGCAGAGCAGATGTATAGGAAATGTAATACAAATTATGCAAGAGAAATGAATGTCTAACCAGTAACACTGAATCACTAAGTGCTAGTAGATACTAGAATTGTCATGGTCCAGAGAGCAGTTTGCCTAATAGCACCTGGCATCTAGGAGCTAAACAGATAACTTGGTGCCAAAAAATAAGTAGGAACTAAAACTGAGGAGAGTTAGGAATGATTGGAGGGATAAGACTGACTGTGACACAGAACTGTGATGTCTTCTTTCAGAATGTGGTATGGCTTATGTACAGGTATAGAATGGACTAGAGGTAGGAGTGATAGGAGTAGAAGAGGTGTACCCAGAAGGGTGCCCGAATTGAGAGGTTATGGAATGAGACAGCTGAAGGGAAATGGAACAGAAAGGAAGGTGCTATCCTTTCCTACCCTGTGCACAGGTTTCCAGAAGAAAGATGGTTCTTTGCGCCAGAAGACAGCTCCTACCTTACTGTACACTGTTTTATCCTTAGGTCGCCTGTCTCTCGATTCCCAGGAAGGAGACAGTGGTTTGGAATCTGGGACAGAACGATTTCCTTCCCTCAGTGAGGTGAGCACCAGCAGAGGCAGGGCCTCCTTGCAAGAGTGCCTTCTGTACCCCTCTGGGCACCTGACAGTTCTGCTGCTTACCACTTAGTTACACCTGGGTCTCTGGCCTCTCATCTGTGAACTTTTTGTGTAGTTCTGCTTCCAAGGGTTTTTGTGAATGTACACTAAGTTCAAAAGGTGAGGAAGCGAGCAAGAAATGTCGAGTCAGAACTGACTTATAGGTAACCCAACAGCAGGTGTTCCAAGGCTGTATATTGTACAGGAGGGGATTGCCCATTTTCTCCTCAGAGAAATTGGTGGATCTGAACCACTTGCCTTTGGGCTGGCAGTGCAACTCCTTACCCACTGGGCCATCAGAGTTCCCTCCAAAAGAAGAGAGGAGATTTCACATGCAACCTACATGCAGGACCATCAATTCTAATTGCTATTTGATCATATAATCACTTGGTTTTATACAAAGAATAGGGAAGGGGGAGACTATTTTATTACCTCTAGCAAGCCTTCAAGTGTAAGGGAACAGAGAAATATATCCTCAGAAAAGGTAATTCTAAAAAAAAAATTCTATTTCACTTGGAACATCATCATCTTAAATTAACTCCACGAGACTGGCTTGATCAAAAATGGCAGTCTCTTTACTTTTCTGATAAATGTTTTTCTACCTGAATGGCTCATCTTTTCTGAAGTAGTCAAAGAACTTCAAATTCTGGCCTCAAAAGTTCTCCCTTCCAGCTCATATATAAAATTTATGGGAAAATTCCAACACCTCAATAAGAAAAAGAAAGACAAGCCAATTAAAAAAATGAGCAGAAGATAAAAAAAGACTCTTAATTAAAAAGTCAAGTACCAAAAAAACCCATGAAGAAATGCTCAAGATCATTAGCTATTGGAAAAATGCAAATCAAACAACAGTGAGATATCATCTCTCTCCAGCAAAATAGTGAAGTTCAAGAGAACAGCTAACAACAGATGCCAGGAAGAATGTGGTGATATTGGAAGTCTCATTCACTGCTGGTTAGAATATTAAAATGGTGTAACCACTGTGGAAAGCAATTTGGTGTTTCCTTAAAGAGTTGAAAATAGAAGTACTATTTGATCTAGCAATTTCACTTCTAGGAATATATCTTAAGAAATAAGAGCTGCAACAGAACAGATCCATGCACACCCATGTTTATTACCCCATTATTTACAGTAGCAAAGAAATGGAAACAATCCAAGTGTTCATCAGTGAACAAATAGGTAGAGAAACTACAGTATATTCACACAATACAGTACAACATGGAAAAACGATGAATTTGTGAAACTCTACTGCAATCTGAAAGGTACATGGTTTTAATCGACCAGCTACTCTGCAGGAAAAGGATGGACAGTCTCCTCTCATGCTATTAATTGCCTTTGAAAACGCACTGGAGGGTAAGCTATGAGTCAGCTCCATCTTAACAACACACATAACGTGGATGAGTTTAGAGGACATTATGCTAAGTGAAATAAGTCAATGACTAAAGGACAAATACTGTATAAGGCCACTGTTCTAAAAGGTTAGAGAAAGGTTTACATATAATCCATCAAGAGTGGTCACCAGGGAGGGAAAGAAGTGAGAGTAGAAAATTAATTGATAGATAACATTTACTGAAATGCCAAAGGATTGGATAAATAGACTTTGTGTGTATTGTTGGTATTGTGACATAGAATGTACATGAATGGGAGGGGAACATTTTCCAAAAATGTTATCCCTTACAGCCCTTAAGTTTGTATACACAGTATAAAATGAGAATGAGCATAAGAGGTACAAATGATATTAGTAAAATATCTATTCAGCCAGGATAATTAAGTATGTATATATAAGAACTTGTGATGATGAAAAAAACGACAAAAAGCAAGGCCCCAGGAATTGACAGCATACCGATTGACTTATTTTAACAAAAAGACTCTGCCCTGGATGTGCTCAATAAGTTGTGCCAAGAAATCTGTAGGACAACCACCTGGCCAATTGAATGGAAGAGATCCGTATTTATTCCCACTCCAAAGAAAGGTGACCCGTCAGAGTATGGAAATTACCAAACAATATCATTAATATCACATGCAAGTAGGATTTTGCTGAAAATTATCTAAAAACAACTGAAACAGCACAGCACCAGAGAACTGCCAAATGTGCAGGCTGGGTTTAGAAGAGGTTGCAGTACTAGGGATATTATAGCTAATGTTAGACAGATCTTGGCTAAAAGCAGAGAGTACCAGAGGAATGTCTATCTGTGTTCCATTGACTAGGCAAAAGCATTTGCCTAGTCAAATTGTTACTAACTCTGAGAAGAATGGGAGTCTGAGAACACTTGATTATGGTTATGCAAAACCTATACTTGGACCACCTGCACTCTTCCTGGATGATACATTTAACATCCTCCCACAACTCATCTGGTCTTCACTCATTAGTGTTCAAGGCCTCAAACCTGTTCCTGAGATGATTCTGAAATTCAGGTGGGATGAACTCAAAGTCATATTTTGGCTCCTGTGGATTCAGTTTAATTTTCCTCAGCTTCAGCTTGAACTTGCACATGAGTAGTTGGTGGTCTGTTCCACAATCAGCTCCTGGCCTAGTTTTCACAGCTGATATTGAGCTGCTTCAGCGGTTTTTTCCACAGATGTAATCCATCTGATTCCTATGCATACCATCAGGTGAAATCCATGTGTATAATCTACGTTTATGTCTCTTAAAAAAACGTATTTGCAATGAATAAGTCATTGATTGTGCAAAATTCAATCATTCTATCTCCAGCTTCATTTCTGTCACCAAGTCCATGTTTTCCAACTACTGATTCTTCTTCCCTGTTCCCAACTTTTGCGTTCCAGTCGCCCATTATTATCAATGCATCTTGATTGCATGTTCGATCTAACTCAGCCTGTAAGAGTTGGTAGGAATAATCTATTTCTTCTTCTTTGGCTCTGGTTGTTGGTGCATATATCTGAATGATAGTGGTGTTCACTGGACTTCCTTGTAAGCGTATGGATATAATCCTATCACTCACAATGTTGTACTTCAACATACGTTTTCAACCTGTATGCAGAGCAGATTATCCGAGAGGCAGGGCTCTATGAGGAGAAGCGTGGCGTTAGGATTGGTGGACGACCTATCAACAATCTGCGTTATTCAGATGACACAACCATGCTCGCTGAAACTGAGGAGGACCTCATGCACTTACTGCAGAGGGTCAAGGACTGCAGCCTTTAATATGGACTGAGGCTCAATGTCAAGAAGACAAAAATGCTCACCACTGGACCAATCGGTAGCATCAGGATGGATGGTGAAGAGATTGAGATTGTTCACAGCTTCAGTTTGCTCGGCTCCACGGTCAACACTTTTGGCACCAGTAGCCAGGAAATCAAAAAACGTATTGTGATGGGAAAGTCTGCTGTTAGGGACCTCTCTAAAGTACTCAAGAGCAACGGTGTCTCTCTGGAGACTAAGGTGTGCCTGATACAGGCCATGGTTTTTGCAATCACTTGTTATGCATCAGAGAGTTGGACAATGACTAGGGAGGATAGAAGGAGAATTGACGCCTTTGAGCTGTGGTGCTGGAGAAGAGTACTGAATGTACCATGGACTGCCAAAAAAACAAATAGATTCATCCTAGAGAGGGTTAAACCAGGCTGCTCCTTGGAGGCAAGGATTCTGGGGCTTCATCTGACATACTTTGGACATGTTGTAAGGAGAGACAGGTCTTTGGAGAGGGACATCATGCTGGGCAGAGTGGAGGGACAGCGCAGGAGGGGAAGAAGACCTTCTATGAGGTGGATTGATTCAGTGACTGGGGTAATCGGGATGGACGTATCAGAGGTAGTGAGATTGGCATGGGATAGAGCAGGGTTTAGGGCTGTTGTACAGAGGGTCGCTATGAGTTGCAAGTGACTCGACGGCACATAACAACAACAACAGTACTTGGACCAGGAGGCAGTCGTCAGAACAGAATAGAACAGAACACTGCATGGTTCAAAATTGGGAAGGGTGTATGCCAGGAATATGTCCTATCTCCGTACCTTTTCAATCTATATGCAGAACCGATCATCCTGGAGGCTGGACTCTGAGGAGGAGTGTGGCATCAGGATTGGAGGAAGGCTCATCAGCACTCATCTGCATTATGTAGATGACACTACCCTGTTTACTTAAACTGAGGAGAACCTGAAGCATTTGCTGCAGAAGGTCAAGGACAACAGCCTTCAATATGAATTGAAGCTCAACATCAAAAAACAAAGATTCTCACCACTGGGCCAATAGGCAGCATTATGATAGATGATGAAAAAAATTGAGATTGCTAAAAGCTTTAATTTGCCCGGTTCCACAATCAACACTCTTGAAACCAGCATCCAAGAAATCAAAAGACAAATTGCATTGGGAAAGTCGGCTGTCAGAAACCTCTCCAGAGTACTGAAGTGCAACAGTGTCAGTCTGGAGACTAAGGTGTGTCTAATCCAGGCCATAGTCTTTTCAGTTACTTTCTATTTGTCAGAAAGCTGGACAATGGCTAGGGATGATAGAAAGAATTCATATCTTTGAATTGTGGTGCTGGAGAAGAATGTTGAATACACCATGCACTACAAGATCAAAAAGGTTCATCCTGGAGAAGGTGAAACCAGGCTGCACCTTAGAGGCAAGAATTCTGAGGCATGTTGCAAGGAGGAACCAGACCTTGGAGGGGAACATCATGCTTGGAAGGGTGGAGGGACAGCGCAACAGAGGAAAACCCTCGATGAGATGGATTGATTCAGTGATTGGGGTTATGAAGGTAGGTGTGTCAGAGACAATGAGGTTGGCACAAGAGGTTGGCAGGGTTCAGGACTGTTATACATAGGGTCACTATGAGTCACAGGAGACTTGATGGTACATAACAACAGCATAAGTAGTTGAAAGTATGTTAAAACCTAATTTCAGGTAAGTATTAGAATTTTACTTCCTTTCTATGGGAAAATGCTGAGTATATATAAAAGGGCCAGCATGTGGAAATGTCACCAACAAAAGGAAAGTCCCAAACAATCTAGAATTGACTCACTTAATCCTGCTCAGCATCTAAGGAACAACATAGCTTAGTGATGCAGATTGCGGGTTGCAGGCTGATAATAACACTATTTGACCTTTAGCAAGTCTCATAAACACTCTTACATGAGGAGCTATAGTATCTACACAGAAGGCTAGTGTGAGAATTAAGTGAGATGACAATCAGAGGGTTATTACACTGCCTGGCACAGAGTAAGAACTGAATTTCTATAAGTCAGTGTTACAAGTATGATTATCATCACCATCTAGGAGAGTCTCCTGACTGAATTTTCTGTCCCACTAGTCATTGATGAATCAGAACTCGGTACTATCTGACGCAGGACTCGACAGCCCTCGAACCTCTCCTGTGATCATGGCCAGCATGACTCAGCACCATAGGCGACAGGGCTCAGATGCACTAGTCCCCCCCATCAGCGACCAGGTAAGTGAGCCACAGTCACTCTTGGTCTGTAGCTTTCTTTCCTCTTTTTCTAAAGTTCTAACTTTTCTAAATTTAGAATGGAAGCCTGAGTGCCATGGCCTTGAATAAGCCAAATTGTTTCAGCATCTCAAAATTTGAGATGAATATTTACCTAGAGAACAAATAGTAAGGAAAGAATAGTATGTAAGTAGAGATAGGAAAGCAAGGACATTCCAGGTGCTCTGTAGAAAGGTAGTGGCACACCTGCAGGGAAGTGGTGTGTAAGCAGTAGAGAGCTGGTCTTCTTTCATGTCTGTGGAGAATAGAAAATAGATGTGTTCACTGCTTCTCCAGAACAGAAATCTTCAGCTTCCTCTTTCTCAGTACAATCTTGTCTTTAGAGTCCTAATATTAAAAAAATAGGTAAAATTTCAGCTCACTTGAGACCTTTTTCTCCACCCCTAGAGTGATTCCATGGAGCATTGAGGTTCTACAGAACTTGCTTTAAAAGCCACAGCACTTTTAAAAAAAAAGGCCACAGCACTCAAAGATAGAACTGATGGGAGATTACAGTGAGGCAGGTTTGGACTCTGTGCACAAAACCTTTTATTAAGAAACTCTCAGCTGGTTTAGCAGTAAATGGGCTGATTTGATAACCAGAGATAATTTAGGCAGAAGCTGGGTCCCTGTTGGAGCCATGGAGAAGAGAGCTCCTGCTTTTATAAAACACTGCTGCTTAAAAAACAAAAATTGTGATTTGAGCAAAAGTTTAAAAAGTGAACTGGTTTTCCATTCCACTATCCATATGCATTTTGTTTTACAACATTAATTACAATACCCACAATACAATCAACCACACTCTTCCCCTGTGATTCTTACTTCCTTCAATCCTCTTATCCTACGGCCTTATCTTTGGGCAAATGCTATCCTTTTGGTTTTACATGGCTGCTTATTTTAAGAATGAGTACTTTGATGATACTGGGAAGGTTTTTTTTGTCTTATAAGTCTTCCTATTTTTTTACTGCAAGTTGTATCACAGGGATATATTTTGTTCCAAGTTTGAAAGATTACTAAGGGCACAAGGGTACATAGTCGTAGGAGTTCCACCAGTGAACCAGTAGAGCTGGCCATTTTAATGATTTTGAGTTTTGCTTTACATTTTCACCTACTCTATCTAGGACCTACTGTGATCCTTTTTAGAGTACTCAGCATGGTAGCTAGACACCATCTAGTTCTTGTCTCAGGGTTGTGGCAGTACAAGTTTAGATGATCCATCAGTCTGATTGTTTCTGTATGACTTTGCTTCCCCCTCCCCCTTCTTTGTTCTGATCAAAAAAACTTCAGTAGTCGTACCTTAAATGGCTCAGCTGATACTCACCAAAGTAGGGTGTAAAACATTATCTTTGTGGACTACATTATACCAGTTGTCCTTTATGTACCCCAATACTATGGTCCCAGGATTTTTCATTCCCTCATCGTATTTGTTTGTGACTAAGTTTATGTAACTTTGATCCCCTACTGATAACCTAGGTGTGTTTGTTTGTGATGTTGTTAGGTACTCTTGGATCTCCTCCAGCTGACACATGGTGAACTAATGGACAGCAGAATGAAACACTGTGTGGTCCTGCACCATCCTGACAACCTCTGATGTGCTTACACTCTGGTGTCCCTGTGACTTACCAAGGATAATGTCCTTTTCAGTGGACTAGATCCTTCGGACAATATGCCCAAAGTATAAGCAGCAATTTGGCTGCAATTCTTGCAAGATATGTTTATATTTTTTTGTCAGTCCATGTTACAGTCTGTCTTCCTTGCCAACAGCACAGTTCAAAGGCATCCTTTTTTTGAGGGGGTGGGGGTGAGGGTCTTCTTTATCCACTGTCCAACTTTCAGATGCATAAGAAATAATATTTTGGTAGCTTCTTAACTGTCTTAAAAAAGAAGATTTCTGTAATACAACCTACTTTCTGTCCATGAAATAATACTAATTGTTGTTAGTTCCATCAAGTACAACTCATAGTAACCCTATGAACAAAATATCTGAATCCCATATCTATCCTGTGCCATCCTCACACTTCCTGACACACAAGAGCCCATTGTGGCAGTCACCATGTCAGTCCACCTGGATGAGGGTCTTCCTCTCCTTAGCAGACCGTCCACCCTTCCCAGCATCATGTCCCTCTCCAAGGAATCTAAGAACATGCCCAAAGTATATGAGGTGAAGCCTAATCATTCTTGCCTCCAAAAAATACTCTGACTGCACCCTCTCTAAGACATATCTGTTTGTTCTCTTAGCTGTCCTTGGGATGTTTAGTGCCCTTCTCCAACACGACAGCTCAAAGCCTGTCAGTTCTTTTCCTGTGGTGTAAATTCTTTTCTGTCATTCTTATTTATTGCCCAGCTCTCAGATGCATAGCAAAAGATCAGAAAGACCGTAGCCTGAATCAGATACACCTTAATCCTCAAACTGACAGCATTACTCCTCAATAATTTGGAGAATTCTCTGAGTGCAGATTTTCCCAGTGCAGTGTGTCTCTTTATTTCCTGACTGCTGGTACCAAGGGAGTTAATTGTGGATCCAAGCAAGCTGAAGCTGTTGACAGCTTCAGTTTCCTCTCCATCCATCATAATGTTGCCTGTTGGTTCAGTGGTAAGAATTTTTGTTTTCTGGACATTGAGATGCCTAAGGCTGCATACCTGAGGGTGCATTCCTTGATCATCTGCAACAAGTGCTTCAAGTCCTCCTCACTTTCAGCAAACAAGTTTGTCATCTACATGATGCAGGTTATTGATAAGTCTCCCTCCAATTTGATGCCACCCACAGTCCTCCTCATAAAGTCCAGCTTCTCAGATGATTTTCTCAGCATACAGATTGAATAGGTATGGTGAGAGAACACAGCCATGACACACTCCCTTTTCAATTTTAAACCATGCAGTGTTCCCCTGCTCTGTTCGCTAACAGCGTTCTGGTCCAGGTATAGGTTCCTTATGAGTTCCGTTAAGTGCTCTGGGACTCCCATTCTTCTGAATATTAGCCACAGCTATCTTCTAAACCCTCCTTGAACTTCTGGCAGTTCCCTGTCTAGTTACTGCTGTATCAAGGTTCAGTGAATGAATAAGTACATATTTTGGAATGAGACTCATTAGAATTATCTTCAGAGTGCCATCTTGGTGGAAGACTTACCCAAGACAAATGTTGTACCCAAGACAAGTGCTGTCAAGTTGTCTGCAACTCATAGCAACCCTGTGTACAACAGCCCTAAACCCTACTCTGTCCTGTGCCAATCTCACTGTCTCCAACACACCTACCCCTATTACCCCAGTCACTGAATCAATCCACCTCATAGAGGTTCTTCCCCTCCTGCGCTGTCCCTCCACCCTCCCTCCACCTTCTCCAAGGACTAGTCCCTCCTTGTAACATGCCCAAAGTGTGTCAGACAAAGTTTCGGAATCCTTGTCTCCAAGGAGCATGCTTAACAGTCCATGGTATATTCACTACTCTTCTCCAGCTCTGCAGCTCAAAGGCGTTAATTCTCCTTCTGTCCTCCCTAATCATTGTCCAGCTCTCTGATGCATAGCAAGTGATTTCAAAGACCATGGCTTGTATCAGGCATATGTAGCCTCTTGAATTTCTTTTCTTTAACTTTTTATTGTAACTTTGCATGAGTATACAGAGCAGATCATTGTATTCATCTCCACATTTTGTTTTATAACATTTATTATAATCCTCACAACTGAACTTTCTACTCCTTACCTGTAATTCTTTCTCACTTCCATTGATCCTTCTATCCTTTCCTTCCTGCTGTTGGAGCTTTATTCTTATTTAAATGCTGCCCTTTTGATCTTGTTCTAAGGACTACATATACCTCCCTAGTGCATTTGTTCCCCTTTATAGGCCTCTCTCTTCTTTAGTTTTAAAGTTAAGCCACATAAGTGAGTTCAGTTCCAGGCTCTAAGGGTGACATGGGGCTTCCACCAATATTTTATCAGACCAATAAAGCTGGCCATTTTTCTGGTTTTTAGTCTTGTTCCACAGTTACCTCTCACTCTTATCTGGGGCTTTCCATTATGATTCCTTCCAGTGTATTCAACAGTGGTAACCAGAAACCATCTAGTTCTTCTGGTGCTTTGAACTTAAAACTCATTGCTTTAAAGTGGATTTTAGTTCATAAAAGCACTAAAGGCACCCCCCCCCCCCATAGAGTTTCCAAGGATGTAGTCCGTACAGTAGCAGAAACCTCTTTGGCTTGCAGAGGGGCTGATTGTTTCAAACTTTTGGTTAGCAGCTGAATGCTTAACTTCTGGTCCACCAGCACTCCTTTTATCTGAATCCCTTTTTCGTGGCTAAAGACCTCCATCCTTTCCATTAGTAGTCAAACAATTATGTAATTTTGCTACCCAGTGATATCAGGTCCCCATTACCTGTGTAATATACCATGGACTGTCAAGAAAACAAATAGGTCTGTCTTCAAGAGGATAAAACCAGGTTTCTCCTTAGAGGCTAGGATTTTAAAACTCCATCTCACATACTTTGGGCATGTGGCCAGGAGGTACCAGTCTATGGAGAAGGATATCATACTCGGAAGGATCAAGGGACAGCCCAAGGGTGGAAGATCCTGAATGAGATGGAATTATAGAATAACTGGGGCAATGAGGATAGGTATGTCGGAGTTAGTGCAACTGGCTCAGGGCAGGGCAGGATTCAGACCTTCTGTATACACCTAGGATTGCATTGAGTTGCAGGCAACTCGAAGGCACATAAAAACCACATGTATTAATAAGATGATATAAGCAGAGCTATATTCAGATCAGCAGTATGAGAATCCTGATGCCACACTTCTCATAGAGCCCAGCCTCTTGGATAATCTGCTCTGCATACAGGTTGAAAAGGTATGGAGATAGGACACATCCCTGGCGTACACCTTTCCAGGTCTCGTAGAAGCAAAATTAAATG